TGAAACAGTGAAAAGATCCCACAGAAACATATTCTGTTGACCAGCTGTTATGAGAATATATCTCAAGGTATTATTACAGTGTATAACGGATCCAACCTTCAGGTCAAAGTTCAGAGGGCACTCCTTCAGTTATTTATCTCTCAGTTTCGGGGCTCAGTTAGAATAAGGATTTGTTGATAAGAAAACACGGAAAAATGATTTTCCAAATAAACAATATGGAAAGGATGTCAAAACTAAGTCGACTGAACAAAATCCGATGGTGTTTGACACTTCTGTGTAAATACTTTCCAACTGAAACTAATATTTATCAAATAAACCCTTCTATATACCGATTGTTTTGGAAAGCACAGGTGAAGATAATTTAGGAATAAAGAAAATATCATTAGTGTTAACTTACCAAAGATAATTAAGACAAATTTTATAAACTGATTTTTGTGTACTGTAAGTCTGTTTTGCCTAGAAGTAGTGTTGGATGAATCTTATTTAAACAAATAAACGTTAAACTTCATCAAGAAGTATTACCTCACATTCCACATAACTGTAAACTTTTTTAAATTGACCCTTTAAAAGTTCGTAAGCGGATCATGCTTGCTTCAAGGTCTAATGCAGCTTATTAAAACTCAAACACTCAACCTGGTTTCCTATACCGAAGTAGATGGAACTGGGCTCGAACGTTTCAACGATTGGTTGAAAACTTGGAATGCCGACTAATGAACAGCTTCATCATATGAGAAATATTTTACAATCAAGGTCAGGCCAATAGACATTAGACAAACATATTGTCTTGGATGAACTGACAAGAACTACATAGAAGCTTCCTATGAAATTTGAGATCTCTCAAATATTAATAGCCCTTAGTGTTAATCTTGGGAGATTATGTTATCTTCACAATAACCAACACGCTTTGTACATTTAAAATTTAAAGTTGCAAGCAATTGATGATAATTCAAAGGCTATAGTGAATTAATATTTCCGGGTTTTCACTATGGACTGATATTAATTAAAAACTAGTTAAAGCCAGGAATCACTAAACAGCCATTTCAATTGATTTAAGTTAGACACGTAAACAGTTAGACACTTGCTCATTGGTCTAGAGAATAAATGCTCCCTGCATGACCTGAATTTTTTAGTTCTGAACGCCAGGGAGATCGTGGAAACGCACTACTGAAGAATCCAATATTAAGACAAAACCACTGTTCAGAGCTTCTTAGTTTTCAGAAGTTGTCTCATTAAAATCAGACAGTAATGCAAACTGAAGTTCAACAATCTCTAGAAATCTATCCAATGAATTAGTCACTTTAAAAGTGGCGGTCTATGCCTCCTTGATAATGATCACTTCATGTAAAGTAATGACTGGTTATCATATCATGTATATATTCTAATCTAGTGAGGAAATAACGAAATGTTACAAATTAGAATCCAAAGCATATCTTAGATAATGTCGGTATTTTTGTTTCATTATGACTCACAATAATTTATATGGTCAGATAAATTTTGTGACTAAGACATCTATCAAATGTCAAATGATGCCTTTGTTGTTTGTTATCAAGAATAAGAAAATATCCACACATCAACACATTAGATAACGTCAACACAGATTTCAGCTAACATTACATAATAATCATGATTATATAATAAATTAGACAAACCAATCTTGTTTTTTTCTTAACATAAAATATGATGTAATGACTACCAATTTTTTTCATCGAAGCGTATTATCGGTTTTTGATGTGTTAGGAAAAGTCATATATCCTAACTAGGTCCCGGGGTGGTGTACATATGAAAATATATACATCATATTCATATAGATAGATAGATACATGGGACATACATGCACAGAGAGGAAGAGGAGTGAAGAAAGAGAGAAAATCAAGAAGGAGGAGGAAATTTAACTTAGTGTATATGGGAACTTTTCTTCTATGAAAATCTGTCATTATTTCAAAACAAGCTGATGCAAAAAAAAAACAAAGGTTATTCTGTTATAATGTGGACGAGAACAAAATTCAAACAACTATTATCAAATAAACAAACAAATGCATGCACACAAAGAGATCGAAATCTTGGAGCGTTCACACTAAGCGATTAATTAATAATTCATATTATTCGAGATAATTTTTGTTTTAAAGCATACTTAAAAAAGATAAGTAGGAAAAACAAACTACTCCTTGTAGATGTCATCGCTTCATAATTAAGTTAATAAAAGCATGACATGTTTTGATTAGCTTTAGTTTGTTTTATTCAAATAATAAATAATAATAATAATAATAATAATAATAATCTCGTTGCTATGTTATTTGTTCAGCTACAAAGCGAAATAAATTACCTATGGTATCACGTGAATTCACAATACTGTTAATCATTTTATCGGTCAGCTGACTTTTAATTAACACTCTGTTTTCAAGGTAAACTGTATTAGAAACTAATATCAGTTCATGGAACAAATGAAAACTCAGATGAAATGTACAACTATTTTTGTACGGATTTGTACGGCTAACAATTAATTCCTGATATACCATTATTCTTATTTATTAGTGTCTATAACTTGAGTGACACTGCCGAATTGAACTATCCACAAAAACTTTGCAAAAAATTCTAACAATATATCCATTAGTGTATACAAATGAATATATCAGTTCTGTTTTCGATGGTATAACGTTGGTTAAACTATCTTTATAAATTCATCATAAGTTTAACTTGTAAGTGTTTGCATGTTCCGGTTGATATTATGGGGGCGCAAATAACCAGTCACTTCTGATACAAGTACTTCCTAAACGGACTGGCTACCTTAGCACAGCCGATTCGTCCAGCTGACAAGTATTAAATAGGACAAAACAGGAGTGCTGGATTTCACCGCTAGCCAATATCCACTAGTATTTACATGGTGGAGAAAATTTGTACCACAGGTGGTTAATTCGCAATTCTACTGTTTTGATGAGCCAAATGATAGACAGACAGACAGACAGATACAATACAGAACTTCGTACGTAAGTACATTATTAGTTCAGGTTGTCTGCCATACCGCTGTAGCACAGAGATGCAACTGTCATGAGCCAAATAAATCTTATTCCTTTAAACTTTTCAAAGTTTGTAGCAATGAGTTTTCGGATTCCTGCATTTTTTTTTTTAATTCCAATTTTGTCACAAATATTTTCTAATCATTGGAACAACTTCCATTTAATTTTTTTTTTGGAGAGATGCCAAGTTACCGCAATAATTTGTCGAATCATTGTGTTGATGCAGTGTTAAAGGGCGTAATTTTTAAGTGGATATGTGTTTTTGGCAACTTCTCATTAGGTTTCACAATTTACAATTAGATAAACTTATTTAATTGTTTCGTTGAATTTGGAATGATAATTAATTATTTGTGCATGTAAATTCGAGATAATAATAGTAACCGTAATTACATCCAAGTCATGCAAAATAATTTTAAAAAGTCTGTTAAAAATCTATATATATCCACACATGTGTGGAATAGACAAACTAACAAAATGCGTGAGTCATCAACAAACCATGTGATATGCGAAATATGACTGATACTACTTACTAGGTATTTTTATCTGTGATTGGAAAAACTTTTGAAAATACAACTTTGCTTACACTAAACTTATTAATTTTAATATATATTCTTATTCAAAATGTTTCCAAAAATTGTTGAACGATCACTTTTCCACGAGTCCATTGTCAAGTTGTATGTTTTTAAACAATACAGAAATCATGATTGTAATTATAAGTTATAAAATATGACTGATGACGATGAAAATGGTTTAAAGTTTGCAAAACTCATGAATAAACAATAAATCCTAGTAGCTTGAATAGAACAAATTAAATCGAGAGAAATGAGCATTTTCTCTAATTATTAGAAAAACTAGATTTATTAGAGGGATTAAGTGAAAATAACGGGAAAAGTAACACGCATACTGATTTATAAGTAAATGAATAACATTATGACTAAACAATTGTGTGGATAGGAGTCAAGTCTGTAGATGGTTTTCGTGATGGACTGGCATTAGTTAGTTAGGTTACCAGTGAGAACCATTTTCAACTCTCCCTAGGACAAAAATAGAGAGGTAGTCGTGAAGTATTTTTTTTGATACACACGAAAAGTATCTATCATCTGATGAATAGCCTACTTTTTTGTTGTTGATGTTTTCTATGGCTGAAAATGAATAAATCATTTAACAGCTTAACAAATCACGTGAATGAACTTGAAATTCGTTTAATAGGTTAACTGGATTATAATAGAAATCAATTCAAAGTTAAAACTTTTATCTATTTTTTTTTTGTCTTACGCTGATTAGATTTCATTGAAAAGTGATCTTGTGCATATGTTGAAACTGTGAAGTGTCTGTGGTCAAGACATTTTGCTCCACCACAATAAGTAAATTAGTAGCTATTCATAAGCGGAGACATCTCTACATGTTTGACAGTTTTTCATCTGAGTAAAAAACAGCTTGTAATTTGGAGAAAGTCAGTCCAATTTCGGTATAATATATATAGACTACTATCGGTAACTTTGAAATGATTTTTTACTCATTACTTATTACATAATCAATAACCGCTGCTTTTATTCTGAAATCGATAGTAAAAACGATGTTTAAATTCAAGGTCTATCCTTCTAAATAAGCGATACCGAACTTGATCAGATATATGAATGCTTTCGGTTCAATCCAACTTAGAATAAAAAGAGACTACCTTACTTAATAACTTCAAACTAAACCATAAGTATTTATTTGCGTAGATGGATGGTGGCTAGCAGGGGAATTCAGGACGGCGATATCGAGATAAATCGGTACAGGATGCACACATCGCAATAATGATTGTCCATTTGCGATTTCTAAACATCACAATGAGAAGTTTCAAATAACCACCAATACAAATGAATAATTAAGCTAGAAGAGTTTTCTAACACTTCTAGGTTAGTATTTTCTAATTATGATGATATTCTGTACACTGTAAATCAACCAACCATTGATTATTTAATATATTTAACAGTAAAATAA